TTGGTCCCTCCCCAACTCATTTACTGATTCAGCTGCTGTTTAGAAGGCAGCCATTGTACTACGGCACTTTTTTCTGTGTCTGTATTTAGGTATAGTGACTTCCTTATGGGGCCCTAGTGTTTCCTTTATCTTCCTGCTCAGGGTCTTGTTTCCAAAGAAGACTTGAGTAGTGGTTCTTGCCAGGGCTATTATTTTATAAATACCCTCTATGGCAGCATAAATAATCTGCTGCTGCTTGCCAGACAGGGATGAGACACATTCCCTGCCCTGCAAAGGAGAAAGTGCCCTCTGAGGTGCTGCATGTCCTCCACTCTTTCTGCCTTCAGTGGGAGTCAAGGATGCTCAGCTCTTTGCAGGATCCGGCCCTAAATAAGAGCAGGTGAGGGATTTGTTGAGGAGGAAGGTGTGCCTGGGTTTGAAGAAGGGGCCTACCAGCTGAGGCAGATGTGGCTCGCAGCTATAGTAAGCAATTACAAGTGGGCTGACATTCAGAGGGGCTTGAGACCTGAAGCTTCAGTAGGAGATAGAAGAGCTCTGCCCCTCTTGGATCTGTGCATTGCGGAAGTGGTGGAGAAAGAGTACTTGACAGTCTCCACCTGAACACCCATTCCCCTAGTTTTGGAGTAGCAGGACTGAACTGCACTAAACTCCTTGCTTGGGATCAGCAAATAGTACGTAGTTTTGGATTCTTCTCAGCATAGCCAATTGGACCCTGGCTTTGGGAGCACCATTATCAAGAGGAGAATGCACTAAACTATCCCCACACAATGCAAAAAACCCAGCATGGGCGGCAGCAGGTTCAAACACTGGCACCATGAGTCAGTTTGCCTGGCCTGCCGCCTTCTGAACTCCCTGTAGACCTTCACACCGGTCACACATTCAGCTTGCTGCCTGCTGTTCCTGCCTGTCATATTTAGTGAATGTGGAGCGTTCCCACCAGACTTTCAGCAGAGAGCCTCCAAGTTCCCCTGTAAACATGGAAAATGGTTCAAACTGTGGCGGATTTTAATTGTTTATCCCCATGGCTTGCAGCAAGGCAGCTCCTCGGACAGGGCTTTCAGCAGTCGGTGATCCAGGCTTGTAAACTATCTGCAGCCTAGTGAGCATACAGGGAGCTGCTCCTACTCCTGTTCACTCAGTGCAAAACTCCTAGTGACTTCATTGGAAGCAGGATCTGACCCATCGCAGGGCCCCGTTTTCTCCACGATATAACAAACCTAAGTGCTGCAGCAATGTTAATTACATTAATTACGTTAATTTATTCTGTTGCCATGCAGCACCCTTCTCTTCAGATGAGTTGTCAAAAAACACAGAGTGCACCTACTAGGTATCTACTAGGTCTGCCACTCCTCCCAGCCTGCTGCTCGCCTCCTGCATCGCCTACCCACGTATCACTGCTGGAGACCCCCTGCCTCATTTTTATATGGGTCTCCCACAGTATTCTTGCCAGCAAGTTAAAAAAATATGGGTTGGATGAATGGACTATAAGGCGGATAGAAAGCAGGCTAGATTGTGGGGTTAACGGGTGGTGATCCATGGCTCAATGTCTAGTTGGCAGCCAGTATCAAGCAGAGTGCCCCAGGGGTTAGTCCTGGGGCCGGTTTTGTTCAACGTCTTTATCAATGATCTGGATGATGGGATTAACTTGCTCAGGGTGCAATTTGCAGTTGACACTAAGCTGCGGGGAGAGGTAGATACGCTGGAGGGTAGGGATAGGGTCCAGAGGGAACTGGGGTTATTTAGTCTGCAGAAGAGAAGAGTGAGGGGGGATTTGATAGCAGCCTTCAACTACTGGAAGGGGGATTCCAAAGAGGATGGAGCTTGGCCATTATCAGTGGTGACAGATGACAGAATAAGGAGCAATGATCTCAAGTTACAGTGGGGGAGCTCTAGGTTGGATATTAGGAAACATTATTTCATCAGGAGGGTGATGAAGCACTGGAATGCATTACCTAGGGAGATGGTGGAATCTCCATCATTAGAGGTTTTTAAGGCCTGGCTTGACAAAGCCTTGGCTAGGATGATTTGGTTGGTGTTGGTCCTGCTTTGAGCAGGGGATTGGACTGGATGATCTCCTGAGGTCTCTTCCAACTCTAATATTCTATGATTCTGTGATTCTATTACCCTTGGGAAAGGAGGGGGATTGAGCCAGGCTAGGATGACAATGGACACTTGAGGAATCAGAGAGGAGCCATTGAAGGTGGCTTCCCTTTTACGCCAAAGTGGGAGGGTGTCTCTAGATAGGGCCTCAGAAGTATCAGGCAGGGTAGGCCAAGCGAGTGGGTCTAAAATCCATGCAGCTGTTCTAAAAGGCTGTTTGTAAATAGCAGCTTGGCACCGTCCCATTCTCAGCAACGCTGGCCACTCCTGACCAGACTCCAGCTCTGGCTCCTCCTACTCCCTGACTGCGAGACCTGAGCAGGCATCTTTACTGGCTCCCAAAAGAGCTCCTCCTCCTAAGCCCCAGCCATTTCCACTGCCAGGCTCCCAGGAACAGCACAGGGATATGCCCCACACATACCTCTTGCAGGGATGTCTAGCAATGGCTCGGGCGGGCTGGGCTGGGCTGCAGTTCCCCAGCCAGCAGGCCAGTGGCTGAAGAGATGGGGACAAAAAAATATCTCCTCTTTCTGCGCAGCACAGTGGAAACTGGGGCTGATCATGCAGCTAATATCCCCAGCCAGGGAGGTGCTGCAAGGCCTAGACAATGGTGGGCTCCCATGGTTCCAGCACAGTGGAGAAGTCTGCCGAATACTTAAGAACTTGCTAAAATACCAAAGTCCACAGCCAGTTGCTTAGCTGTGGAATCCTAGAGTGCATGGGATCCCTGCCTGGGGTTGCATAGCAGTGTGTGGGGCAGGTCATGTGCTGATGTGGGAGAGGGAAGGCTATGCAGACTCATGGTCTCAATGTGGTAGCTTTGGTCTGAGGGATTCTTTCTCTGCCGCTCACAAAGTGGGGTGGCCTGGCGAGATTTTGGGCCCTTGTAGTTGGTGAGGTGAAGAAGGCCAAGCCGGGAGCATTCATCAGTTATCTGCGTGGGAGAGAGTCGGTCTCATTGATGGACTCATCTTCTGAGATGTTCCTCTAATGGCACCTCATTTAAATGCTCTTCCTGTACCTCCTCCCTCCTGCTATCTTGGCTAGATGGAATCTTGGGTCCAGGATACTCTCTGGGCTGAGTGATGGGGAATTCCTGCCCCTCTCCTTCCCATGGCTGCTACAGCAGGTGTCTCATTTTAGCTCCACAACTGATAACAGTGGCCAAGTGAGTCTAGACCCTACCCTTCCGGGGGAATCCGGTTCCATCACCCAACTTAGAGGAACAGCCGTGATAAACTTCTGATCTAAGTAATTCTGAGCTACAGTGCTAACTGAAAACATCCCCCCATCTCAATGAATATGCCTCATACAAAGGTACATTAGAAGGTATCAGATTTCAGAGTGGTAGCAGGGTTAGTCTGTATCAGCAAAAACAATGAGGAGTCCTTAGAAGGTGTGTTACTCAGAAGCCTCTTCTGAGGAAGATGCTCATGAGTCAACAGCTGGCCAGAATGTTTCAGGACCCTTGAGGTGTTTTCTTTGTCTGATCAGACTGCCAGTATTCTCATGCTGTAAGACTGTTCTCCGATGCGGAAAAGGTGAAGACTGTAAATGTTTGATCAGTGTTTGTAATCTGGAACAGCCTTTCTGTATCTGTGTGTGTGACCTGTCTTAGGGTCTTGGGATTGAGTGAGATGGAGGCGCCAGGCAGCAGGTTGTGGGGAGCAGATCTTGACTGCTGTCACTTGCCCCACAGGGAGGAGGGCACAGTGGCTTATTGCCTAGTTCATCCCCAGCAGAGTCTGCCTGGCAATGTAGTTAGTGGCAGCAGGCTTCCACACCTAAATATTCCCGAGCTGTGTCTATTAATTCCATGAGCTTCAATTGAAATGCATTCCATCCATCCTCTCTGTAAACAGCTCTCTCCATTTTCATATGTATTTCAGTGGATAATATTTCTCTTTGTGGGATGACTCTTTATTTTGTTTAAAGATAGTGAGATAGTAAAGTCACACTGCCTTCCAAAAGATGGCAGTATAAACAGCCTTTCAAGAGGACTGGCCCCATCGTAGTGTTCCCCTGTCTCCATGCTTGCAGACACCTCCCTATTTAAGTGCCAACTGATTGGCTGCTCAGTGGCCTCCATAAAATGGTTGGCGGGGCCTCAGTCCAGTTCCTAGCAGATGGGAGCCAGCGTCGCGAAAGCCATCCTGGTGGGAAGTCTCGAGGGAGAATCTGAGGGCTAAATGTGTGAAATGTGGGTGTCCTTTGTGACTGTGGGGCCTTTTTCTGGTCCCTTGTCCATTCATGCATCCAGGCAGAGCTCCTCTGGGTGGTGTCCAGTGGCACCTTGGACTCCATGGGGCAGTTGGGCGATCTCTGAGGTTCTTTGCTCAGTGGCCCTTCAAATGCGTCCTTTTGACCCTGTGACCTGCACCCTCATTCCCATTTATTCATTTTTGATCTCCATGATCTGCTGAGGTCTGGGCCCCAGGGCCTTTTGTTGCCCTGGTGAGTACCACCCACCAATCCCAGTTATCAAATAGGCTGGCATGTTTAAATCTCCCCAGTGTGGATGGGTGGGTGAGGAAATTCTTGTCCTGATCATGGCTGATGCCCTCTTCCATTGGGCTACCAGAAAGAGCTGCTTTCACTCAGGCAGAAACTTGTGTAAAAGGACTCCTCTGGATGTTCCCAGCCTGAGAAGGACAATGCTGTTTGGGACTTGATTAGATTTCCTGAACTGCGGCCTGATCCTGAGGGGTTCTGAACACCAGCAGTACCAACGGACCTCACCAGTAGACGCAGGCGCTCAGTGCTTCTGTGTGTCAGGCCTCTGAACCTAAACTCATGTGGTATATTGCAGTCCCCCAGAATGTATTGAGATAGCATTGTGGAGGGCTGATGGGAAATCAGGTCAAGCTCTTTCTTCAGCCTTTCTCTCAACTCTCTTGCAGCTCACCTTGCAGAGCACCAAGTCCCGCGTGGCCTTCTTCGAGGAGCTGTAGGAGGTGACCCAACCATCGTGCACTGCTGCTTCCAGCGAGCCAGCCACCTGCCAGCCAGAACCTCCTTCAGCAAGGCCATGTAGGCACATCCCAATGGCTGGGGATGGAGCCCCTCTACCTGCTGGCTGGGTGCATTCTGGGACATGATGCTGCTCCTGTGCAATGGACTTGGTCCGTCAGCAGTCCATGGATTTCAGCGTGATGTTCTCTAGTTTAGTCTATCCTAATCCCCCTTGTAGGTTTTTAACTAGCTACCCTCTTCTGCCATTTATAATGCAGAGCTGTGGTATCCCTTGCAGTCTTTTTAAGCAGCATTTGTATTTGGTCGTGACTGTCATGTGACCTCCTGGGAGATGGTGAGCAAGCGCGTGTGCCTTGGAAGGGGCCCCTTTCTCTTCCGGCCCTGCTTTAGGGAATGCCACAAATAATGTGCGCTCCTGCAGGCGGAGCTTTGGTGCCTTTGGCAGTTCGGGAGCCAGGGGGTGGGATGTGTGCTACTCTCGTCAGACCCCCAGTACTTCTGCCTGACTTTCAGGGGGGCTGAGTACTGGTGGACTCCATTGGTGACACACACATTGGTGTAATGGAATGCTGTAAATTGGGGGTATAGCCTCACCTAGGAGAGCGTGGTTAGGTCTGGTCTTCCCGCCTGTTAGAGGATCTAACAGACATAGAAGGGGTTCAGAGATACGCCGTGGGAATAGGTTTGGAACGACTTCTGTACGAGGAGAGATTGAAAAGACTCTAGCTGTTTACCTTGGAGAGTTGCCGCATAGAGGGGACATTACAAAGGTGTGCAAACTAATGTATGGGATGGAGAAGGTAGATCTACCCTCTCTGGTATGACCTAAGAGCAAGGGTATAGTCAAGGAAACTGAAAAGTGGGCTATTCAGCACTGATCAAAGGAAATACTTTCCCACACAGTGTGCAATGAGCCTCTGGAAGTCCTTGCTACAAGATTCTATTGACACCAAGAAATTTGTAGGATTAGGTCTTTGTCTGGATACAAAAACAGCCAGAAATCTAGCAGTGAACATTTAAAAAGTGAAGGGATATGAACCTTCATGCTTGTATCTAGAAGCTGACCTCTAAATAATGTAAATCAGGAGGGAATTTCCTCTGTGCCTTGGTCATCCCATAGCAACCTACTATAGCCTTCTTTTCACTTTCCTCTGAAGTATCTGGCGCTGGCCACTGCTGGAGATGGGCCGTGGGTCTGATCCACTATGTCAGTTCCTGTTCGTGGGAGCTGCATGCGCTCAGCCTCCCTGCACATCACCTCCCTTGCTCCATTTTGACTCCTCTGGTAGAGTGGTAACCAGCACCCCATGAGCTGGGGCTCCACTGAGAGCAGTTCCAGTATCTCTTTGCTGCTGAGTCCTGTTCAGCAATGTTCTCTCTAATTTTTGACAGGCCGTGTGCCCCAAAAATTTCTTCTGTGCACGTTTTTGTGCGTGCGGTGTTTCGCTGCGTGCGTGGGGTTTAGGATCTGTGTGCACGCGCACAGCTTAGGGGGAGCAGTGCTGTTGTGTGAGAATGGCAGGAGCAGCCTTGCTCTGGCTGGGGCAGAGTCTGTGGTTTCCGGTCCCTGAAGGAGCATGCTGTGGACACTCGTGCGTCCTCTGCCTGCCGTGAGAAGAGCCAAGCAACAGGGCTGAGGGACTAAAGCTGCCAAGGTGACGTTGTCTGCTAAGTGAAGTAGCTCTCTCCTAGCAAGGGACTCTAGACAGCTATGTCGAAGAAGTCAGTGGCATCCTCAGCTCTTGAAAGGGCCTAGGTCTGCTGCCTTGGGAGGAGAGGGATAGCTTCTGGCACATGCTTTGTCAACCCCCTGCCTCCTTTGCCAGTGCTAGCCCCTCTCCTGCCCTGCTTTGTATTCTCTGTTTGGGGGACGAGTGGGGAGAGGTGCTAGAAATCACTTACAATTTATCTTCTAGGTGCTGGAAGTAGGGGGGCTGCTTAAAGAATTTGGTAAATTCATGGAGGATTGGTCCATCAATGGCCATTAGCCAAGATGGTTAGGGATTAAGCCCCATGCTGCGGGTGTCTGTAAGCCTCTGACTGCCAGATGCTGGGACTGGCCCATGGGATGGGCTCACTCAGTAGCTGTCCTGTACCATTCATTGCCTCTGAAGCCTGTGGTACAGGTCACTGTCAGACAGGACACTAGGCTAGATGGACCATTGGTCTGACCCCGTATGGCTGTTCTTATTTAAACAACACTAGCAATCGTGTCCTCGCTGTCCACTCTCAGCAATGCTGAGCAATCACTAATGGTCTGTCTTTAACCCACCCAATTCACTTGCCTTTATTTTACTTTTTTCAACAGCCTGGTTTAATCACAGAGAGCTGAATCTAGCCCTGTGGTGACTTCAGTCGAGTTATGGACAGGGTGGATTTGACCCAGAGTCAGCCCTTGGCTCGGCGTAGTACAGGTGTTCTCAAACTTTTGTACTGGTGACCCCTTTCACACAGCAAGACTCTGAGTGTGACCCCCCCCTTATAAATTAAAAACACTTTTTTATATATTTAACACCATTATAAACATTGGAGGCAAAGCGGGGTTTGGGGTGGAGGCTGATAGCTCGTGACCCCGCCATGTAATAACCTCACAACCCCCTGAGGGGTCCTGACCATAGAACCCCTGGTATAGTATATCCTGGCTTTTATCAGATCACACCCGTGAATCCTTTTATTTAAAAGGTCCCTGATGTGCGTTGAATCTCCTCCCACTTGGAAGTGTATGTGTCTGAAATTCAGATGGATAAAGCAGTTTTTTCCTTGGGATGGGGTCTGGGACAGAAAGGCCTTTTTTTTTCTACTCCCGTGGATTGTTATATTCTGAAGATACCATTGTTTTCTCATGTGTTTTAATAAAAATTGAAAGCAGTTGGAGGTGCAGTTGTCTTTTTTGGGATGGGTTAAAAAGAATAAAGAGCACTTTGTTATTGTAATATTACAGCGTGTCATAAAGCAGGTTTAACAAGAGACATGATTGCATCATCTCCAGAGTATTAAATGCACCATAAAGGCATGTCCAGAACTGAGACACGACTGCATCCCCTCTACTGTATCTCAGCACACAGGAACCCTGAGCATTGAGATATACCTGCCTCCCCTCTACTATATCCCAGTCCTGGGAATCCCCAGCACTGAGACGTGACTGCATCCCCTCTGCTATATCCCAGCACGGCACCCGGGAACCCCCAGCACTGAGACACGACTGTGTCCCTTTTGCTACATCTAAACACTATGGGCCATATTCTCCCTAGTCCGCCATGTCTGCTCAATAGAGTAAGGCATAAGGCAGCCTCTGCCTCTCTTGCATGGGCTATTCGTACTGCAGCTTGCAGTGCAGGAGGGGAAGGAGGCATTGCAGATCCACTATCCCCTTTCCCTCATACAGGAGGCATGCCTGTGGACATGCTACTTGCTTAATATATTGGCTCATTCTGGCTCATAAATGAAGTGGCTAGTGAGGTGGAAGCTGTTCATTAAATGTCAGAGGGAAGTTCTTGGCAGCTGTGGATCCTGATCTGACTTGACTTGGGAAAACTCAAGTCTTCCTTTGATTTGATCATAGCTGTCCTGTTCCCTGACATGTCCCCAGAAGTTGTGTTCATACTGGCCTGGCAGCCTCTCCCTGAGTTTTTGAGTAGCACCAAGCACGCTGTTGGCACATAAATAATACCAGCTCTGTGGCATGAGCCCCCTTCAATCAGCTGTCATTTCTTAGCCACTTGTGCTGTCCTTGAACGCATGGGTTTGGGGTGCAGGGAGCTGCTGCAGAGCTGGGTTAATAGATATTTGACCCAGCTGCCTCTGAGCTAGGCTGGGATCAGGAAATGTTTAATTTTCATTATCCATCATTCAGGCCTTTACAGAGGGCATGAGGACATGCACACAAAAAGCAAGGAGGCTGCTCCCTCTGACTGGCCCCTTTCTTCGCCATCTAAGCCACAGACAGGTTTGCAGCACAGTGTTTGCATATGTCATTTAATGAATTGAGCAGCAGAGTTGTTTATCTGCTCTGTGTTTGCACAGCCCCGGCAGCAAAACCCCTGGAGATGAAATTTAGCTCTTGACGAGGGCTTGTCCTAGAACGATGGTTCTGTTTGTCACATTTATGTACACTTTTTTCAGTCAATAATTGACTCAGCAGAAGTGGGTAGGCCGATGTGACTTTTCTTTTGCTGGTTTGTGTCAATGTGGGGCCTGCCCCTAGGAGAGGAGTTGACTTTACTTTTTTAAGAGATGCTGAAAGGAAAAGTGGGGTCTGCCTGCACTGCTCCATAAGGACGAGGCTGCAAAAGAAAGGGAAAATAAAGAGACGCTGACCTGATTTCACTGGTATCAAACACAGAATATTTCTACATAATATAGCTCATGTGTGTGCATGAGTGTGGCAGGCAAGAGCCTCAGATCTCAAGGAATTTAGCTGGTACACAAAGACTAAAAGGTTTTTATAAATGCTCCCTGCAAGTCCCAGGTTAGGATTTTCAGCTGATGAGTGGTGTATTCTGTAATGCACTGAGGAGTTAACTACGTGAAACTAAAGGGGAAAGTGATGGGGAGGTAGCAATACCCTGCCTCTGACATCAAGGCTTGTTTCTTCTCAGCTGCCCCAAGGCCTTCTGCGGGGTAGAGGTGAGGAGATGGGCTTGCAGGAGTAGCCTGATTGAACCCCAATAAAGTTTTGCATAACAGCTATTCCTACACATAAAGCATGTCCAGCCGGCCAAGGAAAATAAAGTACACGCAAAAGAGAATATGCTGAAAGTTCTGGGGAACTACAGGCCAGTCAGCCTCACCTCAGTCCCTGGAAAAATTATGGAGCAGGTCCTCAAGGAATCAATTCTGAAGCACTTTGAGGAGAGGAAAGTGATCAGGAACAGTCAGCATGGATTCACCAAGGGCAAGTCATGCCTGACTAATCTAATTGCCTTCTGTGACAAGATAACTGGCTCTGTGGATGAAGGGAAAGCAGTGGACGTGTTGTTCCTTGACTTTAGCAAAGCTTTTGACACAGTCTCCCACAGTATTCTTGCCAGCAAGTTAAAGAAGTATGGGCTGGATGAATGCACTATAAGGTGGATAGAAAGTTGGCTAGATTGTTGGGCTCAACGGGTAGTGATCAGTGGCTCCATGTCTAGTTGGCAGCCGGTATCAAGTGGAGTGCCCCAAGGGTCGGTCCTGGGGCCGGTTTTGTTCAATATCTTCATAAATGATCTGGAGGATGGTGTGGATTGCACCCTCAGCAAGTTTGAGGATGACACTAAACTGGGAGGAGAAGTAGATACGCTGGAGGGTAGGGATAGGATACAGAGGGACCTAGACAAATTAGGGATTGGGCCAAAAGAAATCTGATGAGGTTCAACAAGGACAAGCTCAGAGTCCTGCACTTAGGATGGAAGAATCCCATGCACCGCTACAGACTAGGGACCGAATGGCTCGGCAGCAGTTGTGCAGAAAAGGACCTAGGAATTACAGTGGACGAGAAGCTGGATATGAGTCAACAGTGTGCCCTTATTGCCAAGAGGGCCACCAGATCGAGGGATGTGATCATTCCCCTATTAGGCATTGCTGAGGCCTCATCTGAAGTACTGTGTCCAGTTTTGGGCCCCACCCTACAAGAAGGATGTGGAAAAATTGGAAAACGTCCAGTGGAGGGCAACAAAAATGATTAGGGGACTGGAACACATGACTTATGAGGAGAGGCTGAGGGAACTGGGATTGTTTAGTCTGTGGAAGAGAAGAATGAGGGGGGATTTGATAGCTGCTTTCAACTACCTGAAAGGGGGTTCCAAAGAGGATGGATCTAGACTGTTCTCAGTAGTGGCAGATGACAGAACAAGGAGTAATGGTCTCAAGTTGCAGTGCGGGAGGTTTAGGTTGGATATTAGGAAAAACTTTTTCACTAGGTGGGTGGTGAAGCACTGGAATGGGTTATGTAGGGAGGTGGTGGAATCTCCTTCCTCTGAGGTTTTTAAGATCAGGCTTGACAAAGCCCTGGCTGGGATGATTTAGTTGGGGATTGGTCCTGCTTTGAGCAGGGGGTTGGATTAGGTGACCTCCTTAGGTCCCTTCCAACCCGGATATTCTATGGTTCTGTGACTGATCAATCTCAGGCCTCTGAAAAATGTTCCGACAGCTCCTGAGCAAACAGTGTTATTTTTAAAACATTGGGAAACAACCCATCTCTAGAGGATCCACGTGACAGGTGGTAGTTACCTGGGTGAGCGCACACCTAAGTCAAGAGCCATCTTGATCATTTGTGAGACATCAGCACCATGGAGAGCAGTGGGGGAGGGGGGAGTGAAATCCAACCATGGCTTCTTAGTCCTTCCTTGTCTCATGTTATAAGGAGCTGTCAGTACTCCGGATTCAGGGCACAAGTTGATCACAAGAGTCAGGAAGGAATTTCTGGCTGTGCAAAAGTATTACAACATGGTGTTTCCCTTCTCAAAGCCTTCAGTCCTTCTCCCATCACCCACATCCCATCCCTGCACTGCGTTTCCTTCCCAGCCTGTATATCACTTCAGCATCTCTCTTAGATTCCCAGCTGTTAACAGCCACCAGAAAGAAACCCTCACTTTAGTCTTTGCTGCAACATGTTTGCATCAATGCCTTGGGATTCCTGCCCCTGACGTGCCCCCCCCACGCCCACCGTACCATTACAAGGCAGAGTTGGGGTCATTCCATCTGCTTCTCGTTGTTTTATTTAAATCAGTTTCCCCCCATTCCTCCTCCATCCGTTCCTTTCTTCAGTGTGGGATCTCATTTGGTGTCTTTAGAGGCCTAATTTCCCTCAGAAACCAGCTGGGTGGGAAAGGGGGGAGAGCAGTGGGGGAGAAGGGACAGAGGGCTCCAAGTCTCCCCTAGTTTCAGCAAGATGAAGTTGTGTGGAGGTGGAAAGCTCCAAGCTCAAGATCCCACTTAGCCTGGCAGCCAGAAGCCCCATTCTGCACCCAGCAACAGAGACATAGATCCTGGACAGCAAATCCCCAGCTGAACCTGCAGTGACTGGGGAAAGGACCCTGGCATGGCCCGTACCAACGGGACACAGTAGGAAGCCTGCTAGAGAAATGGCTTGGTTTGGCATTCCAATGCACCCGGCATTTCTCATCCCCCTCCCTATTTGAGTCTGTTATTGGTCTTCCCAGGAGCAAGCTGAGTTTCCCGTTTGGCACCTGGGTAAAAAGGTGCCTTGTATTTTCCAGAGACAAGCTCTGCTTTGGCTAATAAATATTCTGAGCCAGCCCCAGCCTCGCCCCACCCCTCTCTTAGAACAGCAGAGTGATTAATGGCAGCACTAATGATCAGGATGTTCCTCGCTGCTGACTTCACCTGCATGCTAAGCAGATTAGCCTGGGCCAGGACTGCTCAGCCAGCCCGTGCTGTTCCCAGGGCCCAGTCCAAGCCTGCGTGCTGGTGGTACAGTACTGAGGGCCTGAGCCAAACACCGCCGGAGCCAGAGTTGCTTGCTAGGTTGCTGGGGAATGTGGTGAATTTGTGACATAATGGCTGACCTCTCAGACAGGAGAAGCTGCGGGGAGTGGGGTCTCGCAAGCAGCAGCGGGAATGGCCTGCAGTGTGTTCTAGTGGGGAGAGCAATGGCCAAGGGCACTCAGAGATCCCACGGCCAAAAGGGACCGTTGTGATTGTGGGACCTGACCTCCTGCATAGCACAGGCCAGAGACCTCCCCCACCATAATTCCTACCGATCCTTTAAAAAACAGCCAATCTTGATTTTAAAATTGCTACTGATGGAGAATCCATCACGGCCCTCAGTAAATTATTCCAGTGGCTAATTACTCTCACTGTTAATGATTGACACAATATTTTCAGTCTGAGTTTGTCTAGTTTCAACTTCCAGCCATTGGATCTCGTTATGC